ATGATTTGGTACGAGATTCCTTCTTGATTTGTAGCTTTCATATTTGTTAATCGTTCTTGTTATTCTAGTTGTTAAATTTATTTCACTTATTGATTTATTTATATTGATACGGTGGGATCGGGTTGTGCACCGCAATAGGTGAATAAGGGTGGATTGATATGGTGAAATAAAAGAGGATTGATATTGATACAATGGGATCAGGCTGTGCACCACAATAGGTGAAATAAGGGTTGATTGATATGGTGAAATAAGAGAGAATTATGATATTGACTGATTATATGGTGGAATTGGGCTGCGCTTTGTAACATATATGTACTTGTTATTATTGATATTTATAAGGTAGAATAAGGGAGAATCGTGGTGTATGGTGGGATCAGGTTGCGCGCCGCAACTGTTTATGTGTTTTGCATTCCTTGTTGTATTGTGTTGGTTTCGGTGCTTTCGTATGAGACTTTGAGGATTTGCATTTCTATATTTACTGGTTTTCGGGGATTTAGTTATTTTCATGAGTTAAAAGCCTTATTTTTCCATATGTTCCTTTCCTATCATTATTTTTTTATATACTGCATACAAGTTATTGTAAGTGACCCGCCTTAGCCTCGTCACTACTTCGTCAAGGTTAGGCTCGATACTTACAGAGTACATGAGGTCGGTTGTACTCATACAGCACTCTGCACTTCTTGTGCAGATTTTAGAGTCGGCCCCAGCGACGGTCAGTAGATTACTCAGGTTGACTATCGGTACAGAGACTTGAGGAAGTCCCCTCCTACTTTATCTTAGCTGTGTATTTTCTTTCAGATAGCTTTACTTTCATTCAGACCTTTATCTATATTATTCTAGTAGCTCGTGCACTTCTGACATCATATTCAGGGTTGTATTTTGATATTTCAGTTGTTATGGCTTTCCGCATTTTATCTCAGTTATTTCAGTAATTGACATCAGTTAACTTGAATGGTCTAAAAATGGCTTAAAACTAATCTAACCTTGGCTTGCCTAGCAAGTAAAATATTAGGCGCCATCATGGTTCCGAAGGTCGGAATTTCGGGTCGTGGTAATAGTCTCACATAATGGGGTATGGGGAGGATAGTGTGTATGGTGACCTTACTCCTACCTTTTGTAGGTAGAGAAGTTGTTTCCAATATACCCGTGACTAAAAGAAAGCATAAGAACAAATGAGAGCTACCTTGAATATGGACAAAAATCACTATCCAAAATTTAGGATCAAGATTAGAAAGAACAGATATGCATAAGGTTCCTATGTTGCACACTAATGTACATCCCTTATGAGATAGTTTTGCTCGCCTCTTGGATCTATGTAACTCTCACAACTACACTATAATCTTTATGGGATCTTACAAGCTAGAAGGAATTTAACTTGTACAATTCTAAGATAGATTTTTGGGAGGTTAGATTTTATGTTTCCCTTCATCATATTTTTTTACTTTTGATTATTAATATACAGGTTGGGATAAAGCCTCAACTCCTGCACCATAAGGATGTAGTATTAATATATATTAAAAAGTGTTATAAAATAATAAAAGAAGAAGAAAGTATTGCAGAGAAAAAGAGTGGGAGAGAATTGTTATTGATTTGGGATGAATTACAATTGAATAGAACCCTCTATTTATAGGGAGAGGGTGACTTAGCCACCAAGTAATAAACCCTAGAATCTCTCTAAATATAGACATTCACCATAAATAAAATTCTATTTATAACACTCCCCCTGAATGTCTATTCAACAGATAATGTGCCTCGTTAAAACCTTAACTAAAAGAAAACCCAATGGGAAAAAAAATCTAGAAAAGGAAAAAGAGTACACATATCTAATAATACGCCTTTTGGTTGCCTCATTAAAAACCTTGGAAGGAAAACCCAGTGAGACAAAACCTTGTAAGGGAAAAAGAGTACAACGCGTATTAACTCCCCCTCATGAGAGCATCACTTTCACATCCTTAAGCATTTGCATTCCAATCTTGTGCACCATCTTCAAAAGATCTTTGGTAGAGATTTGATGAACAAATCAGCCATATTAACTTGAATGAATATATCGCACCTTGAAATCATCATTCTTGATAGAGATGAATTGTCTTCATATGATCTTATTGGAATCATCAGTTCAATATCTTCACATAGAGGTGAAACTCTTGCTATCATATTATCATGCATATAGTTATAGCAAGATACATTTATGCACAAATTGCACTGAGGAAGTGGTACTTCAAGATCAAGAATTGTATATGCTTCAAGCAACTTAAATCCTTCATGGATTGTCATATAAGTTAAGTCGTATAAGTCATATAATAGACTTTTGATGCATATCGAGTTTTCATGTCATGCTAGACATATAAGATACCCAAAACTGATTGCACATACCATTGACTTTATACTTTCAAGTGTTTGAACTACATGTCCAAAACTACATATCTTTCATATGAAACCAATTCTATTTGAATTGTTTCTCTAGACTTAAGATCCTCATATATATTTAGCGCTATTATAGATGTCGTCGACAAACATTTTATATCGGTTCCAACCTCCTTATTTTTCATAAAGACATAACATAGAGATCTCTTCATTCATATATTCAGGTACCTGAATCTCTCATGAGATTTTATGAAGTGTTATGTCATGTGATCTTCTAGATCACTTGCTTCCTTTATTATGATCATTTAGATCATTTGCTCATCTTCTTTATCAAGAAGTTTATTCGAAACCGATTTGTCTATACGCTTCAAGCGTACCATAGACTTTGTCCTTCTAGGACTTAATATGAGCATTTGCAATGAGAATATAGTTACTTTCTTTGGGTCAGCAAATGCGTCCGGCATGCTTTGCAATATATTGCACATGAATTATCCTTTATGAACTTCAAGTTCATATTATCTTATTCAAGGATCTAGATGTACAAATGATAATTCATTCCATGTAACTTTTTCTCAACTGTTGTATCTTGTCTCCCCCTCATGTTAGAAAAACTAACTTGTTTCCTCAACTTTGAGAATCCACCTTTGTGCGTTATGGTGTTAATCAAAATATACACTGCACATCAATAATAATAAGATGAAATTATTTGGTTCCTGACCCGGAACCACTTGTGAGGGGAGAAAATAATATACTTTGGTATATAACATATATCAAACTGGTATATAAAACTTTGTTCTCATAAGTAATTGTTTAGCTATTAAGTGGAGGCACTCAATAAATCATTTTGCTAAACAAGCTGTGATGTAGACTAACTTATCAAGATGAACTTCTTGAATAGAAAATCTGGAATATGCTCTAAATTAAATTATTGAGCAAGTTACCTCGCAAACACCATGTTGCGGGTTAATAATAATCGCACATGTAACCATCTCATAGATGCATCTTATGTGGTATACATGGCAGGTGAACTGGCCCATATTCACCTTTGATATTTCCAGCATTCATGGGATTCAATCCCAATTTTAGTTGATCTATTAATTAATAAGAACAAGCAATATAAGAGAATTCGTAAAGAACTTTCTAGTTCTTTATTTACCCATGTGAATTCTCTATTATTTTTGCACATCATACATGAATTAACATGGCTAAACCAAGTATGCCAACTGGATAAATTATCAATATTGATAAACTTCAGGTTTACACCATGATGTGTGCAATTATGAATAAACTCCAAGTTTATTATGATAAGGTTTTTATATCAATAAATATCCACTTCATTGTGGTATTCTTTTGTTTATGTAGTACAAATTGAAGAATAAAGCGGGTAGCTTTTCACATACATATTACCCCGCTACAAGATGTAGTAATAGAAGATATTAAATCTTTCCTTTATTTATAGTCTCAATATAATCAACCGCTTTCGCGTATACTTTGGAAACTGAATAAGTTTCTCTGAGACTTACTACAACACAATACCTTATTGGTAATTAATTGTGTTTCTCCAAAATAGTATAATTGGCTCTTGCAGAGTTTTCAATTAATTTTGTAGTACCACATATTCATCAACACCCATATGGTGAATATCTCTTTTAAAGAGAAAGTTATACCATTATGGTTATGGTCAAAATTATATGCAAGATCTGTTTCTTGCATTACCGTTGACTTTTAATAATCACAATGCCAAAATATTTTGGCGTACAATAGGTACGGGACCAATGACCATTCATGCCATAATAATGATATTATTTTCTTATATCATCTCAAACCTCCTTCTAGAGGTGAGTGTGGTATATACCACTAGCTCATATTCTTCCAAAAATGAATATGTATTCTTAAATCAGATGTTGTCACATTCACATCATGAATAGACCATAATCATCTATATGTGCTTTATAAAATCTCATGTCAAATCGATGACAAATATTTTCACAAGTGGGGGATTATTTTGAGAATCCTTATTATTCTCATTATCACAATGATGACGATTATAATTTCGTCTATTGCCACGTCCACATCCATTGATACATTCATAGTGATAATTTTGTCTTCTTTCAGACTTATCACATACTGCTATCACATTCTCTTAAGGGAATGAGAATGGAGCAAATTCAATGGGACGGGTTTCCACTTTTGTGCCCATAATCATACATGAATTTGATCATGGCAAGACATAGAAACTTTTACCACTTCAGGTGGTTATAATTTCTTACAAACTCCATTAGAGTATAATCAACCTTTGTTGTCTTTGCTTGTATATAAAATCAAATTATAGAATAAAAGAGAAAAATACGGTAAAATACTTACCTTAAATCCATAATTTAATCATGAAGGAAGTTCATGGAATAATTGACAATCATTATGCTCAATCCCAAAGCTTCTACTCAATTGGTTAGAGTCTCGTGCTGATAACGTGTTATAAAACAATAAAAGAAGAAGAAAGTATTGCAGAGAAAAATAGTGGGAGAGAATTGTTATTGATTTGGGATGAATTACAATGGAATAGAACCCTCTATTTATAGGGAGAGGGTGACTTAGCCACCAAGTAATAAACCCTAGAATCTCTCTAAATATAGACATTCACCATAAATAAAATTCTATTTATAACAAAAAGAAAGCATAAGAACAATAGTAAGAAAAAGAACAATAGTACTTCACACGCATTAGAGAGAGAAAGTCTATTCAATTTCTACAATTATATATAAACCTCCTCCCTCCCCTAACATGGTCTTATCCCCACATTGCAAAGGACCCAATACTCTCATTGCTACCGCAAACCCATGATCCACCGGACAGTAAAAACACACTGATGGATATGGAAACAACAATCAAGAACGCCTTCAAGAAAATCCAAGCAAAAACCACTTGACAAAGTCAAATGTTTACTGTCCACAATACCACCAACAGGAACAGAGCTCGAAGCAGCCTCAAACATAGGAAGTATCGAGCCAATCCCATTGTCTCAGGAATAAAAGCTCAGGATTTACCAACCATGGAAATTCTCACTTTTTATTAAGGTATTTTGAAGGAAAATCCCCTACCACCTCCTACGGACCAAGCTCCAGCAACTTTGGAACCCAACTGAACTATTTTTCCTAATTGACCAAGGATGGAACTTTTTCATAGTGAAAATTGTGAAAGAGGAAATATGACCGGTGCGCTGCAGGGGGGCCATGGTTCATTATGGGCCACTTCCTCCCAGTTCGGAACTGGGAGCCAAACTTCGTTCCTGCAAACACAAGGATACAATCCACAATTACATGGATTAGGCTACAATAGCTACCCACTAAGTTTTATGATTAAGAAATCCTGGGAAAAGTGGGAAAACGAATTGGAAAACTTTTGAAGATAAATACATGTACCTCTACTACTCTAAGAGGCAGATACGCGCTGATCTGCATCTAAGTGCCAATAGAGGTACCACTGCAAACATCGGTGGTAATAACAGGGGACCACAAACAACCCATTGTGTATGAGGGTGACGGTATTTTTTGCAAAAAATGTGGGCAAAATGGTCATATCTAAAAAATGCACCTTAGAAATAGTTGCCGGCATACCGAAATAACTGGAATGCTCAACAAGTACCCAAAAATCACCTGGCGAGGAAAGCTAAAAAACAGTCGAATTCCCAAGGATGAACATGCATTTAGGAAAAATAATGGAGAACCAAAAGCCCTTTTTTCGGACTGTCTTGTTTTCAAGCCTCCACTGGCTTCTCTAATAAATCGACTTCCTAAGGAAGAATTTTATGACGTAATTAGGGAAGACTCCATTCAAAAGCCACTAAACGAGTTCAACGCAGAGCAGCAAGTACGGTTAAGGGATATAACTATTAACCACTTTTCATTAAAAAATGAAATCATCACGAAAATGAAATAGAAGCAATTGGTAGCAAAGGACGACTCAACAGTGGTTAAAGTGTACAACCTAAATTCCGGTAATTCTCTCTCCTTGGGAAACACTTTGTACTGGGGTATGAGAGTAAGCGTAGGGCATGCCCAAATGAACAGGGCTAGCACACTAAAATGGGGCCTTGTAGAAATAGCCCCAAAAATGAGAGCGTGCAAAGCCCAATTAGGAAAGCAGATCAGTACTGATCTTACCCAATGCATAGTGGCCCACACGAGGGAAATCCACACTCACTACTCAGGCCAGTCACATGCTTTCACACATTCCTAACACACGCTCTAACCCCATTGACAAGATCCTTGGTAGCGAAAATCCCAATCACAAAATGCTGCACCAAAATCGGATTATTTTAAGATACCCGATGATATACCAAAATTGGTACCAAACTCTAATAAGAAACGTCAAAATAATGGGGACCCATTTGAAATTGACACATGCCAAAATCTCCCTAACTCGGTGAAGGAAGGGAACGAACACCCTAAACCCTCTCTCTGGGCGCAGCTGTGTAATCAAACTCCTACCCACACAATCTCCTCTCGTCATTTCCTCTCAGGTGATAAGATTGACGCTGCCCCCCTCCCCACAGACCTCAAATGATGGGAAATTTTCTGGCACGGAAACCTAATGAAAAAGAGGATAGCTTAAGGGAACACTCTGTGGATCCTAATGAAAACTCTCTTCCAAAAACACTCCAAGCAGCATCAATGACAAACAACCACCCTCAACAACATGCATCTACACAAACACAAGAAGAGGAAGCACTGCCCCTCATTTTCACATCTACACCACTGCCCCAGACCATTTCCAAACCTCTTGGTTGCTTCACGATCGGAGCCCTACCCATCATTGTAATCATCCAGAATCTCCACTATCTGGCCAAGGTAATGACTGCATATCTAAACCATGTGATGATGAACTTTGGCCACCAGCTCTAGCTGGCAACCCTGATACAAGCTCAGGTAGCCCTAAGCCAGCAAACATCTCATCCTGTTGATGAACCAGATTAGTCACACCCTCCTCTTCTTCCCCCGTGTGTCACTAGGAGAGTCGATCCCTAGTTCACCATTTACCTCATGGACACCATCATAGCTAGTGGGATCGGCACCACAGACAACACCGCTGGCAAGGTCGGAAAAGGTTCACGAGCATCTAGAAGCATCCAAATTGGAAATAGAAACATTGATCACAAAACTAGGAGTCTCCAAACAAAGGCAATACTCCTTCGGTGGGAGGAACTGCTATAATTCAAAGGGCCAGGGGCGAAATGCTTATCGCACACTTTTCAGGTAATATTGTGATGTATGTGGTAAGCCTAAGGTTTCCCTTAGAGCAAGACTCAGCAGCAAAGCTAAGTCCGACTATGGACTTGAACCCCACCCCACAACTGTAGTAGGACAACTATCCCCTGAAGAAGAACTTGGAGAGCCCTTCCCCAAAAGGGAAAGGCGAGTGCCTGAAAAGGAAGTCACCACCACAACCCAGGATGTTAATGAATTTTATAATCTGAAATGCTCGGGGGATTAAAAGTGGGAAATTTAGGAGACACTTTGCTGAGATGGTTAAGCTGCATAAGCCATCTATGCTTGTTTTACTTGAGACTAGGATGACTGAGCACAAGCACATGATTCAGGAGTTGGGTTTCTCAGGACAAATCTAGAACTCTGTTGTGGGCCTCTCAGGGGTTATTGTCATCATGTGGAAGGATGACATGACATCCTGAAGATTGATGAGGTTTCCACCACACCACAGGGCATCAACGTCATGGTCAAGATAACCCCTTCCTTCAACCCTTGGGTCTTTACTGCTATCTATGCTAGTAACACCTATGCCACTAGAGGAATTTTATGGGAACAACTTAGGTTAATCCCAAAGAATTACAAGGTCAGTTAGTTAGTAGGAGGGGATTTCAATGAAATCCATAAAGCTTGAGATAAGCAAGGGGATAATTGCATCTTTGTCCTTAGAGCTAACCTCTTCCGACAGTGCACTAATCCTCGTAAATTAATTGACCTAGGTTTTAAAGGGAGTAAATATACTTGGACTAGCATGGGATATAGGAATAAGAGCTAGCTCATACTTGAAAGATTGGATAGATGTTACGCTAAGGAAGATTGGATTCAAAAATACCCAAACTACTATTTTTCACCTAGCTAGGACCCATTCCAACCATTGTCCTATGATTAGGTTGTGGCATAACTCCACCAACTCTAGCTAAACCCTTTATGTTTGAACATATGTGGTGTAGCTATGTCATACCCCAATATTTTAAATGATGACATATTGTACATTTAGAAAATAATTTAAGTCCAAAGGAAAAAAGGACAAACTAATAAAACAAAACAAAAAAAAAGAAAGAATGGAAACAGAAAAGGTAAGCCCATCAAAACAATTCTGCCAATGAATTAAAAAGGGTTAGGGGAAGGGAACGAAGCAAAAGCTTCAAAAGGAAAGAAAACGATAACAGAAGTAGGGAAAAAAGGAAAGAAGGAAAGAAAAGAGAAAAGAAGGAGGAATAAGTCCATGCAGTTGAGAAATCTTAAGCACTAATTGATTCTACGGTAATACTTGAGCTTCTTCTTCTGATAGATTTTAATTTCGTTTCCCATGATTGAAAGATTCTACAGAGTAATAGAATTTTCACTGTTTCATTCACGTAATTGAGAATTATCTTTCTGAAGAATCTATAGAACTTTATGAAATTGGATTAATAAATTATATGAACAGGTTGAAGTTGATAGATTAGTAATTACTCATCGCATGGGTAAATATAATCCGGCGATATAAGAGTCAAAAATGAAACCTCAAGGGTTGAGTATTCTAAATTATCAATGAATTATCCTAAACAAGAAAATTAACACGAGATCGATATTGATGTGATTATAGATTGATTGAAGAAAGTTGTACAGATCGCTCGAGGTTAGGAGTTTGATATTTCGACACGAGTATTGCGAGTAGTAACCGTACCGCAATTTGTGTTTTCATAACTTACATGATTTACACATGATTTTTAGTATGAACATGTTATGATACCGAAATAATTATTTGAGATGACTACAGTTGTTATAAATATTTTCACGGTTATTAGATATATTTTACCGTTACTTGAGATATGATTACTGTTACCGAATGAAATTACATGATTTGATAAGAACTGAAATGCCCTGTACTATTTTAAAAGTTTTTTCATATGAGTATTGACGGATTATAAAGACAAGTATAAATACGAGGAGACCTTGAAGGATCATGACGACGGGTTCGTTAGACCTGGTGCACTTGTATTTATAGATTACCGATTACAGTTACAGCCCTCGCTAGTGAGAAGGTAGAACTAGCATACAGTTACAGTTTTCCACGATCAAGGACCTACAGTTATATTTGAATCCTTTTACGCAGTGTTTTAAAAGGCATTTTCGGGGCGATCCCTGAGGCGAGGCACACCAAAAGTGTCCCAAGGCAATGGTGTGGGGCAAAAGTCTCAAGAGGCGTACGCCCAGCAATGCGGGGCTTTAGCCCGGGCGTTCGGGGCGCCCGGACGTTTGGGGCGCGTTTTTGTAGTGAGGCGCAAGCCCCATAGACTTTTTCAAATTAAAATAAAATTTATTGAATAAGTCCTTCATATAATACCCAAATTCTCAAAAGTCAGCTTATAATTACTCAAAAGTTTTAAAAAGGAATTGAAGTGTATTAAATTAAAAGTCACGATATTTTTACTAATTGAAATGGTAATTTATGATCTTTCCCAATTCTTTATCTTGTCCGCTAGTTTGCTAATATCTCCTAAAAGCAACGAATATTCAATTTTTTTACAAATACAAAGAGAGCTCCATTCTCCTTCATATTCAAAGTTCAAATTGCAGGTTAGTCATACATTTTGTTCCTCCATGTAGAAAACTTTATTCTTTTTTGACTCAAGTTACTTGTGCTTGTAACTAGCGTATAATATATTATTTTGACTAGTTTTTTATGGAGATGGAGCGCGCGCGCACACACACACACACGCACACACGCACACACACACACACACATACACACACACACATATATATATATATATATATATATATATATATATATATATATATATATATATTTATATAATTTTCTTCAAATTTTATGCAATTTTGCCTATTTATAAATATTTACTGTAATTATACTATTTTATAAAATATTTAAAATTAAATATCCATGGGGCTTACGCCCCGTGCCTTAGGGCTTACGTCTCGTTGAGGCATATTGCTTCCATCACTAACCAGTTCAGCTCGGCTAGTGGGCTTTTGTGTTCGAAACTCGAATCTGGACCTGTTCAATATGTAAATTTCTCGCCTTACGCCCACACCTTTTAGAATATTGCTTTTACGAAGGGCTCCACACATTGATACATATTACATGATCCTTTTCTAGAAACCTCCCAAATATAAAGATATGCTATGACATGGTATTTACCGAGTTTATTACGGAATGGTTAAATTGATTTTGTTACAGAAAACATATGATGAGACAGATCATTATTACTGGTTTAAAAATGGCATTTATTTTATAATAGTTCTGATTATTATACAAGCATGTTTTCTGACTTGTCCCCAATTAAAAACCGTTATGGTTAAGTATTATTACTCACTGAGCTAGTGACTCTCTCCCCGCTATTTTTTTTATAAAGACTGTAGTTGACGCAGGCAATGATTTCATTAATTAGAGAACACAGAATGATGGTTCTTGGTGAGCCTCGCTCTTGTTCGCGTGGGCGGAGATATTATTTATTGTTATGTTCTTTTCTTTGAACTTTTAGAGTCGCTCCATAGTCAATATTTTAGTGTCATGAGTATTCTTTCGTTATTATAGACTTGATGAGTATTGCACTTTCTTATTGTATTTGAAAATAAATTAGTATTTTTGGTTGTTAGTGGGTTGATTATTAATGGTGGAGATTTGTTTTGGTTAATTGATAAGTTGTTTGTTGGTTGGTTTGATATTGGTATGGTTGGTTGTTGATTTTGAGACAGGAAATATTTTTGGATAGTCCAAAAATAGAAAAAACTCAATCTGTTTTTATGTAAAATACTGATAAGGCATACTTGGGAGCACTTGCTCCTAAGCGCCACTCACGATCCTAAATTGGGTTGTGAGAAGCCACCCTTCCTTTTCTTCTTTAGTGGAACAGGCTTATAAGGGGAATATAAGCCTTGAAGTGGCTACTACTCACTTTCAATCCTAGGTGTCCACCTGGAATAAGGAAGTCTTTGAAAGTATTTTTCACAAGAAGAAGTACATAAATGATAGGATAAGAGGCATTCAGAAATCAAGGGCCTACCTTTATAGCTCCTTCCTGCAGAACTTCGAAAGCAAGCTGCTGGAAGACTTCCATTCTTAGAAGTGAGGAGGAATTCTGGAAAATAAAATCTAGGATCAACTGACTAATGGAGGGGGATGCTAATACTAGGTTTTTCCATACTTCTACCCTCAATAGAAAATAGAGAAACATAATCCTTACACTTCAGGATGAGGTGCGCAACTGGACTCATAACCAAAAAGGTATCCATGATACCATATACGCTTTCTACTCCAAGATCTACTCTATAGAACACTCCTCATCCACATATAGGTTTCATTACACCCCATACACAACCTACTGATAACTAGGGATTTTAGTTCATTTTACATTCCTTTTTACTTGAGTTTTGATTAAAAATGCATACAAATAGTCCCAAAGGCTTACATGTTGTACTTGTTTGCAGGGTTTGGTCAAAAAGGTAACAAGAGTCAAAAATCAGCTCAAAAAGGAGTGAAACATGCACAAGTACTAAGAACAAGTCAAAGTACAGCTGCAACAGACCCATTGCGGTCGCAATCCATATAGTGCGGCCCGCAGTGAGGAGATTCAGAGAGGTGCAAAAATTGGAGCTTAAACTAGTGCGGTCCGCGGAGGTTTTCTCGCGGCCGCAGAAGCCTCTTTGCGGCCGCAATCCATTTTATGCGGTCCGCAAAGAGGGAGGTTCAGAGAGTTGAAGTTTGGACAATTGAGTAGCTACTAGCTAGGGTTGTGGCTCAACCCTAGTGTGGGTATTTGATGGATCTTGTGTTTTAATGCTTAGATGTTTATGGGTAGTTGATATTTGGACTGATTTGTGTTTTGTATGTTGGATTAGTGGTTGCAAACACTAATTTGTGCCTAAGTAACTTGGCTCTTCTTGAGAAAGAGAGCTTAAGTCTAGGAAATCAGTCCAACAAGAAATTGGGGCGTACTCAAGAGATTGATAGCCCTAATTAAAGGGATAAATCTAGAGATAGTAATACCCGACTTGAGCCTATATTGCTTGCTTAATTTCGAAACCCAATTGGTCTTGAGAAAGTCAATTCGGGCAAAGTCACTCAAGCTACCGAGAGGTATAGAGTGAGTAGTGTCGTGCAAGGGATCCCAAACATAACATCTTTGCCTTAGACTTAGGAACCCGTCAAGTATTCACCTAGGGGAAGTCACTTCCCTAGTGCCTCGTTACCTATTAGACAATCCTTTAGCAAGTATTCTTAGTTAAATTTAGCATCTCATAGTATAAAAAAATAGAAGTGATCAAAAGAACAACTATGGTTGGAAGCGCAATTAAGAGCATTACATATTGCTAGTTCAGATAGGAATCCAATTCCCAAATCTAGCTCCCTGTGGATTCGATCCCGACCTATTCGGGTAAAAGCTGCATCGACCGCTCTCTCCACTCTTTATTGGTGCAGGGTTGGCACCGATCACTTTTTGGCGTCGTTGCCGAGGAGCTAACGGTTTTGGCTATCTATCTAAATAGTTTTGTGTATTGTGTTTCTTTCCTTCTGTGATACTAATCTTTTTGTGACGCCAATCCAGGTACAAAATGGCGGCAAACAACAACAATGACCCTCTTGGTAATGTGATCCCGGGGGAAGGAGGTCGATGACATCGGTGAGGATGAGGTGCCTCTTGTACCTCAAGGACAACGGAGAGGCCGCCAGGACAATGCTAATGCCAATGATAATATTCCAGACCCTCCCCCACCACCTTCAAGAGTGGCCCCTCGGGTGCTTCCCAATCAAGGATCTGCCAGTGCGATTGTCCCGCTCCGGATCCGGGCGGGCAATTTTCGAATTACCAATGTGATGCTGACCTTGCTGGAGCAACAAGGATATTTCACGGGTGCTCCTGATCAAAATGCTTACAAGCACCTCAAGGGCTTTGTTGATACATGTTGGGGGAGCAAGCAAACCAACCTGTCCGAGGATGCCTTGCGGTTGAGACTATTCCCTTTCTCTCTTCGGGGGAAGGCACTAGACTGGATGGAGAGACTCCCCAACCATTCCATCCATACCTGGGATGAGTTGGCGGATAAATCCATTGCGAAGTTTTTCTCACAGGGGCACATGGCAACTTTGAGGGATGAAATCTTAGCTTTCAAACAAGAGCCCAACAAACCACTACATGAAATTTGGGAGCGATACCGGACCATGGTTAAGGAATGCCCTAACAATGATATGACTGAGGCAATGATACAACAGACATTCTACCGAGGCATTAACACAACAAATCAGTGCATAGTGAACCAATTAGCTGGGGGCAACTTCATGAACACGCCGTATGAGCAAGCTTGTGAGATAATGTATGAGACGGCGAACACTTCTTCCACTTGGCAAAGTAGAGCAAATGTGCCACAGGGTGACCCTACAGTCATTCACTTGCACAAAGAGCTCCATGATCATGGGCAAGCAATAGCTGAACTAACAACAACTATGAACCAGCTAGCAAAGGCACAGTTACAACAGGTTCAAACTCCACGACAAGTGAATGCTATAGAGGGTGTCAACATGTTAGTAAACAAAAGAAGACAAAGAGGGCAACAGAACCAACGGAATTCGGATCAATACAACCAAGATAGTGGTCGATTCAAAGATGATGGGTATGAAGAGCAGAATCAAGAAGTGCAATACGTGAACAATTATCAAGGCCAAAGGGGAAATTCTTCCAACCGACAACAACAATGGAGATCCCAACGAAATTGGGGTAATCAACAACAAGGGAACAATAATTGGGGTAATCAACAACAAGGAAACAATAATTGGGGGAACAACAATCAAAATCCTAATTGGGGCAACCAGAACAACAGTCAGAACAATCAGGGAAACTGAGGTAATAATAACAACGACTGGGGTGGAAACAACAATCAGGGTGGTTGGAACAT